ACAGGTGTGTTCAAGAACAGGTGTGTTCAAGAACAGGTGTGTTCAAGCTGTTTTATTCAACTACACATTCCTGAAACTCATCCCAGCATTCTTGCTTTGTTTTGGGCTGCCTGGCTCTAAATATACATTATTAAAATTATAAGTTATTAAAAATATATGTTATTAAAAATTTATGTTGTTAAAAATTTACGTTATTAAAAATATACGTTATTAAAAATATGTTATTAAAAATATACGTTATTAAAAATATACGTTATTAAAAATATACGTTATTAAAAATTTACGTTATTAAAAATTTACGTTATTAAAAATTTACGTTATTAAAAATTTACGTTATTAAAATTATAAGTTATTAAAAATATACGTTATTAAAAATTTGTTATTAAAAATTTACGTTATTAAAAATATACGTTATTAAAAATATGTTGTTAAAAATATACATAATTAAAAATATACGTTATTAAAAATATATGTTATTAAAAATATGTTATTAAAAATATACATAATTAAAAATATATGTTATTAAAAAGTATTGAAGCTTCCAGTTCAGGCAACACTGTCACTTGGGTTTTGAAGGTGGGGGTGGGGGGGTCTCAGTCTACCTCCTAACATTAGCTGCTCAGAACAGAACTGTCCAGACACAACGGAGAAGAGCGACTTAGCAAACTTGTCCAAAACTGTTTCTAATCTTCAACAAAACTCAGTGAGAAGCTGTTTTATTCTTTTCTGGCCTTTTTGTTACAGAGACCACAAGTTCTCCACAAGTTCTCCACAATAAGTTCTCCACAAGTTCTCTACAGTTCTCTCCCGTGTGGCCCCGACTCTTTGAAGGCAGGAACCAGAGAAAGTGCCAGGACTGAAGTTTGCTTGTTGTTGTCAGAATCAGGACGGTTTAACGTCAGAGGTAAGAGCCTCTGATCCAACCAAGCTTCACGCTCTGAACACACAGACTCACACAGCAGGAGACTGACAGGACAGTGGAAGAGAGAAGGATGCTCCTCTAGTCAAGACTTTTGTTAGAAGAACAGAGAAACACTAGGACAAGAGATCTAGAGAGAAACAGAAAAGACTTGAGTCAGCTGACACAAACAGAAACAAAGACTTTGGAAAAGTGGTGCAAACCAAATGACTTGTGAGATTCTGCATCACACTCTTCATATCATCTAACAACATATTGTTAAACATTCATATCTCAGCAGGAGGCTGGTAACACGTGCAGAACACACCCACTTAAAACCATCAATCATCACGAACAACAACCAAATGGTTTAGGCCAGATGGACAACTCGCTACTCACAGAACCAGCCTGAGGACACCAAGGCCAAAGTGGTTCAAGAGAAGGTTGTAGGCTCCATCATCCAGGTAGAGAAGAACAAAAAGGTTGAATCATGTCATCTGGACCAGTGTGTCATCTGGACCAGTGTGTCATCTGGACCAGTGTATCATCTGGACCAGTGTGTCATCTGGACCAGTGTGCCATCTGGACCAG